TGTCAAAAGGTGGCCAATCACATTCCGTCATTTCCTTTTTCCATACCATGTAATTTTCTTTTGTCTTTTAACATAACATTTTTAAAGTTTCACGTATTTCTTTTATCTTTTCTTCTCATCATCAAATGAAAATGTGTCCCCTATAGAGAAATTTGCTCTTGTTTTGTGGAGAAAGGAAAACAAATTCAAAACAAAGTTTTGAAATGTCCCCTTGGGCAGGATTTATATACTTCACACATTCTATAGTATGAGAACCCACCTGAAATGGTGTAATGAAAATGAGGGAAGTATTTCTACAGAATATCCTGACTTGCTCTACAAGTTACAATTCTCCTGGTTTTTCTATATGGCCGGTCCATGTGAAATTGGGATCATTATCACTAAAAAACAAACAAAACCAAGACATCAACCCTGAGAAGGGAGAACTTACAAAGCTCAGGAGAAAAGCTCTTCCAGACTCAGATCCAAATGAATCAATGCCACTTATTGAGCACTGTTTTGTCTTGCACCCCACTGTTGTAGCCTTTCGACATTTTATACAACAATTATACAACAAATTTAGAAGCTACAGGACAGGTCTGGTGAAAAAGACCTGGGGTTTAGTGGACTGCATGTTCAAAATTGAGTCAGTTGAGCATGACAGAGCATTAAGAAAGAAAAATCCTAATGCTCTCCTAGGCTGACCTAGTGTCTGGGAGACAGAAGGTGACAGTTGTGTGAACAGAGCCCATCTGAAGGGCTGGGTCGGGTTGGGTTCTGAGAGTCACATCTTCCAAAAGGCACTTGGAGAAGCTGAGAAGGAGAGGGGGGGACCAAGTTGTTAAACCAGGAGAAGTCTTAGCAGGCACCTAAGGAGCCCTCTTTTTAAGGAGACTTTTATTTAAGCATCTGAAGGGCTACCACCTGAAAGAGGGATTAGTTTTGTTCTGCTTGGCCCAAGGGCAGTACTAGAAGTAAGGAAGGGAAGTTGTAGAGAAGCAAACTTTGGCATAATAGAAGGAAATACTTCTCAACAATTAGAACTGTCCAAAAGTGGAATGGGTTAGCCTGGGGCCACATGCCTGTGGTCTGATTCGGTTGATGCAGGAAGTACCGAGTTTCTTCTCACTGGAGATGTTTAAGGGGAAGCTGGAAAGGCTACTTGTCGGTCATTCCATGGAAGAAATCCTTAGTAAGGTAGAGGTTGGATGATGTCCTCTGAAACTCTGCCTCCTCCAGGAACATGCATCCATATTTGTGGCACCCCAGTGGGTTTGAAGCCCCCTCAAGTGCAGAATGAACGGGAGATACCAGGAAATCAAGCAACCCATCTGCCATGTGAACTCTGCCTGGGGATTTTATGCCAACCTCACTTGTATTAGTTTAGACTATTTTATTTCTACAAGTTAACAAAACATAATAGGGTAGGGATCTGAGCTGTGGGAACTCCCAGATATGTGAGAGAGTGCACCTTTTCTTCTGTTTATGGTCTTGGAGAGTTGCTTAGAATACCAAGAGAAACTGCAACTTGCCCAAGGTTACATGGCCAATGGCAGAGAGGCAATCTGAACGCTTATCTTCCTCACTCCACAGCCAACTCTCATCCTCTACATCAGGCTGCCTCTCAATATATAACACTGTCATAAAACAAAGAAAAGACAATTAAAAGACAAAATAAAAGTTATCATTTCCTCTAGAAGGCCATACATGAGGCCTGGGAACTGAAAGGAGGGCCCAAAAGAGATTTTTAGACTTTTTTCATTAGCATATTAATATGTTAATCAGATTCACTAATTATCACCTTAGAAAGCAAAGAGGGAGCCTGGCCCTGACATGATGAGGTATGGGATAGAAAAAAGGAGGAAGGAAGGAAGCGAGGTAAGATCAACTAAGGCTGCAGGGGAGAAGGACTCAATTACATCCCATTCAGGAATCATTTTATTTCTTACTGTGTCCCAGGTACTGTACTATATCCTGGGATTATTGACTAGGGACAATGACTAAGGAGAGAAGGCCAAGTGCAGTATTCCTGTGAGGGCTCTTTGCTTCTGGGCAGGGGATTGGGGGAGTGAGCTCCTGATCTAGCTCCATTGGCCTTCAGAGATTACAATTCATTGTTACTACTGTAAAAACAGTGACACAGTACATGGAGTGCTGGAGAGAATTCTGAGAATAGATTAGGAGTCAAGATAAAGATTAATTTCACACCCTTCACCATTTTGCCTAGGGGTGGGACAGTTTGGGACAGAATTTAGCATGCAGCAAGGGAAAATAATTCAGTTTGTTTCTACAATTCTGTTTGAAGCTACACTGAGAACTTGTTTTACAGGTAGCTTTGATTATAATGAAAGATCCTTGAAGGTCCTATCAACCCAGTTAGTACCAGGTAGTGTTTGTGAAGCACATTTGGGAAGCAAGGTGGCACTGGACTCGGGAGTGAAAAGTTCCTAATGAGGAGGTGGAATTAGGTGATTTCAAAATTCCTTTCCAGCTTTACCACTATAGAGCACTAGGGAATCAGGTCCTACTTCGGCTACTTAGTAGGTGCCTTACCTTTGACCAATTACATAAGCTTCTTAGACCTCAGTTTCCTCATTTATAAAATATGAGTCATAATAACTAGACATCAATGTTTATGAACAAGCATTTATTTACTAAGATGTATACACACATACAGGATTAAGTCAAATGTTTAAAAATTAGTGAGGGCTCTCAAAAGAGCTTTTGTTTATATAGGTTTTATATATATATTAATTTCTACAGGGTTGGAAATTAAAATGTGTTACTATTAGTAATTCTGATTTGTTTTTTTAGGCAATTAGGGTTAAGTGACTTGCCCAGGATTACACAGCTAGTAAGTGTCTGAGGCCAGATCTGGTTAGGTCCTCCTAACTCCAGGGCTGGTGCTCTATCCACTGAACCATCTAGTTGCCCCTATAAAATGGGTTACTATTATATGAAAAGTTTTGACCTCATGGACCCCGTGAAAGGGATCCCAATCCACACTTTTGACATCTAAGTGTTGGTTTACATTACTTAGAGATTTAAGGTTCACTAAGCACTTTCCTCACAACTCAGTGAGAGAGGGCAAGTTTTATCATTTCCATTTTACAGGGGAGGAATGGGAGGCTCAAACTGAGGAAATGATCAGAGCTATAACTAGGGCAGGGCAATCAGACCTTTGCTTCAGGGCAATGACATTTAGAGGGTGCTGACAACATTGCAGTCTTTCACCAGTACAGAAAAAACTGAGGTTAACACTTTATTAGCTAGAATAGTTAGTTAAAATAGGAAGCTATCAGATGGCCTACTTTTTCTTCAGGTGCCACACTACAGGAACTACGGTACTCTACTCCTCCATTCTTTCTCCAAAAGCAGCCTCAAGGAGTCTTGGAATTTCTTCACTTCTCCTTGCCCCTCCCTTGAAACATTTGTGTTGCTTGCCCAGGTGTAAAAATTGCTTTAGCCATGGCTTTGAAAGTAACTAGCTGGTTGGTCACAGTATCAGTTCAGGACATTTGGAACTTATTCATTAAATTCATTATGTGAAAATGCATAATAAAGTATAAAAAGCACAATACAAATATACTATTAAAATAGCAGAGTAGGGGGTAGATTGTCTTCATTTTGTGTAGTACTCAATACCCTATTCGCTTCTAATAAAGTATAATTCTTGATACAGCTAATTTTAACCTTTCAAGAATGCTTTAAAAATACGCCAGGTTAGGGAGGGTTATAGAGGAGTCAATGCAGGAGGATGGTTAAGAATAACAGAAAGCTTCCAAGCTGAAGAATAAAGGGGAAAAAACCGAAAAGCTGAGGAGGGGCTATCTGCATAGCAGGGGGTTGGGGGGGGTGACAGCTAATTTTTATGAGAATGGGCAGGGCTGCAGGGTTGCTTGGGAGAAGCATTGCATCAGTGAAAACAGAGTGGAGGTGATTTGCTAAATTGGATGATTAGAGTAAATGACTCCCCTCAGTCTGTGAATTTAATGACAGTATGAAGTTTCCAGGGGGGGAAGGGGAAGGAGTGGGGGAGCATTTAGGGAGTTATAAATATGAGTCAGTCCAGCACCGGCTGAGAAAATAGCCACCAAGTTTGACTGGTCTGAGAGATTTCACGTCAGGCTTCCCCTTAAAGGTGCTTGCTCCGAGACTTCAAGCCAAGTAACCGGCACGAGAAGGTCGCTCTCATTGACCTGCTGTGCGCCCCCCAGAAAGGTAGGCACGCGTTACAGGGGTTGTCTTTATCGTATGTACAGCGCTATTTGCATGTTGTCTCTCCTTTCTCAAGGCGAACGCCGGGAGGCCAGGTAGGGTGCTTCTCCCTCCTCCCACCTTTTTTCTTTTTCTCCTTTCCTTTTCCCCCCGCACCTAGTGAGCACTTAATAAATACTAATTGATGGACCTAAAGGCGTGGTTCCCATCCCCGGGAAGCCCAGAAAGAGGGTGTAAACGGCAGCGGGAGAACGGGAAGCGGTTGCTCCCCGAGGGAGGGAAGGGAAGGATGTCACCCCGGGGCGAATGCACCCAGGGTGAGTGCATGCCCCAGGGGCTGAGCCGCGCTGGAAGCCCGCACTCGCGGGAGAGGGGCATGGAGGGTGCATTGGACCAGGCGGAGCAGGACGGGAACGAGGCTCCCCGCGAGCCAGAGGAGGGAGAGCCCGAGCCCGGGATTTCTTTCCCGCGTTGTGGCGCGCGCGCACGCGCGCGGAAGAAGCCGGGGGCGTTTGACCCCGGGCGGGAGGAGGACTGCCGGACGCACACCCAGAGAGCGCAGCTAGGGTATGTGGAAGTTGAAGAGGGGAAGGGGGAGAGAGAGCCCGAATGCGTGCGGGAAGGTGGCCCCGTTGCTAGGCGCCCAGCTCCAGCCCCGCCCCTCTCCGCGTTACCTGGGTGACCGCCGGAGGGGAGGGGGTGGGGGTGACGGGCACTTACGTGCTGACGCTAATTGTATATGAGCGCGAGCGGCGGGATCTCGGGTCTTTTTTAGCGCCATCTGCTCAGGGCGCCGCCTCCTTTTCCTCCTCCTCCTCCGCCTCCTTCGTCTCCTCCCGCCGCTGCTGCCGCCGCCGCCCTGAGTCACAGCCTGCGCAGCTCCGGCCGCTTGGTCCCTGCAGCAGCCGCGGGTAACGGAAGCGGGACGGGAGGGGAGAGGGCGCGCGGGGCTTCCAACGGCCGACCGGGCCGAGGTGGGGGGCGGGGGAGATCCCGCGGGCTCGCCTGCCCTGCCCGGGCCTGGTCGGGGCTGGCCTGGTCGGGGCCGGGGCAGGGTCTGCGTGCGGACGTGGAGTGTCCGGGGCCTGAGTCTCGGCCGAGACCGACCCCGCACCCCCGTGAGGCCCGCGGCCGGGGCGGGAGCGAGGCGAGTAAGCCCGGCGGGCCGCAGCTCGCTGACGAGGAGCCCGGGCTCGGGCTGCTGTGGCCGTGGGAGGGGGGGAAGGCCGGCGGGGCTGGCTGCTCGTGGCCGCGGGAGCACATTCCGCGCACGCGCGTCTGTGAATCTGGGGGTGGGGGCGACCCCCCGGGGAGAGCGTGGTGGGGGCGCTGCACCTTGCCGAGCCCCGCGTCCCCCGGAGGCGGCGGCAAAGTTGGGGTCGGGGCTGAGGCGATGTTTGTCCGCTGCCTGCAACACGTGGTAGCGGCTGCATGGCCGCCGACCGCCCGGGAGTGCTGCCCCTCCTCCCCTTCCCCCTGACACCCTCCCCCTCCCCAATCCTTCCCTGCCTTGCGACCTCATCACCCCCTCCCCCCTTCCCCCTTCTGATCCTCCCCCGCCTTTACCCCCTCTGATCATCACCCCTCCCTTTCCCCCCCATCATCTCCCTCCTACCATCTTCTGATCATCCTTTCCCTTTGCCCCTTGCCTTCCCCCCCACCCCTTCCTTTACTCTCATCAAGAAACTCTGAGGCAGTTGAAATCTTTGCCAAGAAAAAAATAGTAAACATCCTTTTTGACTCTGAAATATCTCCTCCCCATGGGCCTTTTGATTAAACACTGGCAAAAGACCAGCCATGCTGATCTTCAATTTTAAGTCCTAGGGAAGGTCTAAAAACTATTGGCAAAAGCTTGTAATAGAAATTTGGGGTGCTTGTCTGTCTCCCTGTTCCACGTCAGCCAAATCAGAGTGCTTTGAATGTCCAGAGGAAGGGAAGCGCAGTGGCTAGTAGATAAGAGTGCTGGACCTGGAATTGAGAAGACCTGAGTTCAAATGTGGTACCTGAGTGTGTGACCCTGGCCTAGTGGTTTAACCAATTAACTTCACTGTGCTCTGGACATCTCACTGAAGTTTGCAGAGAAGGTGCTACCTTGCATTGGTAAGAGGTAGCAGATTCTTTCCCTGGGAGTCTTCTATAACAGTGGAATTACATAGGTCCTTCCTGTCGTTATCCCCCTTATTAATAAAGCTGTGTGACCCTGGATAAGTCATGTAACTGCTTTCTGCTCTGATTTGCTACATCTGTTAAATGAGCTTTAAATCTGTAATCTTATGAAGGCTGCTGATTTGTTAGAGGGATGGGATACTAGATGAATAATTTTCATTGGTGTAGTGACCTCCCAGGTAAATTTAGGCACCTTTTACCAAGGTCAGCACCTGCTTGGAACCGTAAGAGCACCAACAGGTTTTGTGACTTTTCAGCTTACATAGCCATATGTCTCAGAAAAAGGAATTGAACCTAGATCTTATGACTTTCCAGACCACCTCTACCCACTACCCAAGACTGCTTCTCATTAATTAAATAGCTTTTTTTGCCTTTCCAGGTTAGGAACTGACTACTCCAGACTGGTGAAATAAAGTTGAAATCCTTTTTCCTTTTCAGCTTGTTGGTAACCCTTATTGTTGCTAATCTCTCAGTACAATTAATTAGAATGACCAGTTCCCTTTGGGGAGGGCAGGGTGAAACTTGACCTGTGATTTTTTTTTTTTTTTTTTTTTTGGTACAGGAAACTTCCTTCAGGGAACTTCCTTTAACATTGTAGATCTATACCTTCTCAATAACTTAAAAGTCATAGAAAGTTGTCTGGGGCACTAAGAGGTTAAGTGGTTTATCTTGGCTTAGAATTTGAACCTAGGTCTTTCCTAGCTCCTGGGGCAACTCCTCTGGGCCACATTCACTTGATATCCCTGAAAAGTTGTTAGGGAATGCCAACACAGACATTTTTTAACCTAGTGTTGGTCGACTAATTAATGTTGCCTCTACCCTTGGGCTCTTGACTAATGCTATATGTGATCACTTACTAGAAGCAAATGCTGTGTGGTTGGAGAAGGGATGGTTTCTTGGGAGTTGATTTGATAGATCAAATCTTCATACGAAAGAATACATTGCAGTTAGGTTTGGTATCATAAAAATCAAACTGAATGTTTAAATTAACATTTCATCCATCAGAGAAGATTCTACTTGTATACAAATGGATATATACACATAACCTAGACTGTACTATATATGCTATAGTATACTAGAGAAACCTAGTATGACTGCAATCTGAAGGAAGCTAAATATTACTTAGAAAGGTTTTGAGACATTTTTTGTCATTACAGATGTCTGACTTCACTGGTGGGCCTGCTGATTAAACTCTCCTCAGACCAACAGTTGTTTTTCTTGATTGCTTGATTTTTTTCTTGGCAGCTAGGTGGTGTGGTGGATAAGAGGCCAACCTTTGCTTGGAGTGAGGAAGATGGTGTTTTAATTTTTTAGACACTTGCTTTGTGACCCTAGTCACAAGTTACCCCATGAGTCTTTCCTCATGTGTAAAATGAAGGGATTATAAGTCCACATAAGTCCCTTTCAACTCTAACTCTATGATTCTATGGGCCTGTTTCTCAATTTTCTAACTTGTACTAAAAGTAACTAACAAAATACCAGTTTTATAGTATTTTGTCTAGATGTATATTGTTAAGACAGCTGGAACTAAATGTAGTAAACAAATCATTGTTTTCATGACAAATGAGAACTGGTCATTTTTCAACAAGCGTACTAGACCACGAACACCCAAATAATTGTTAAACTTCAGTCAAATTGGAAGCTATATGTAATAGATTTATTGATCAACATATTTGAAACTCCCATTTTGGAATTGCCTTGAGAACCTGTTTTTGAATTCCTCTTGGATCAACAGTGGTATTTTCTTGTGTGACTTAGGGAAGTCACCTAGCCTTAAAAGAGAGGGTGGCACTAAATGTCCTCTGGTATTCTTTGTAGAACTAAATCTGTGAACCTTGACAGACTTGTCTTTGGAGGGCTTTTGACTTTTTTTTTTTTTTAACAACAGACTCTGAAGGTATTTCCAAGGAGTTAATAAATATTTTGAGCAGTGAAAATATTGCTGGAATGAGTATATTCCTTCCAAGGTAACTACTTAGAAGAGGATGGCAGTCAGGTAGTATATCCGGGTATGCTTTCTTTAAACAAAATATTGTCATACACTTGCAATTACTTCATTGCTTAGTCCTTTGATTGGTGGGGTTTCCAATTTATACATCTTTAATTGATTCAATTTTTTTGACCTCTAGTGCATTTAGTTATCATTTTACCCAACTCAGCCATTTCATTAATTTATTGTTGAGTTGTGACTTGGGAGCATCGTTGCAAGAAACTTTACAGCTGAAGGAATGGGTGAAGCTTGATCAAAATTGGGCTGGAACAGTGTGTAAAAGGAATTTTTATAGTTTTGGGAATCAGTTAAAGACTTAAAGGGGTATTAGTCTTAGGGCATTGAGATACTTTTTAGAAAAATTTCAAATTCATGTTGAAAGTAGGTTTATTGAATTTATTGTTAGCTAATTGTAAACTGAATGACGTAATTTCAACCAGAGTTGATTATTTCATCTTTTGTTAGGTATATGTACATATACGTGTCAACCAGTCAATCAGTATTTATTAAATTATCTAGTATGTGCCATACGTTATGCTGTGTGCTAGAGATAGATATAAAAAATGAAAAGTTCTCTGCCCTGTTTGTCATTAATTTAGCAAAGTGATTTAATATCTAAATGTCACAGTTATTAATGTTGAATTGGATCCCGTCTGTCCTAGTTCTCACCATTTGACTCTAGGTAGAGTGCTGGGCCTGAAGGCAAGAGGACCCGAGTACAGATCCTGCCTTAGACGTGTACTGTGTAACCTTATGTATATCACCTAACCTGGGGATAATAGCACCTTCCTTACCAGGTTGTTGTGAGGATCAAATGAGATAATATTTGTAAAGTGCTTAACACAGTGCCTGGGTGCTGCACAAATATTAGCTATTAGATGCTTAATAAATGTTTATTATTGGTATTATTATTATCATCTAGCCCACCTTTTTAAATTTATTTCACATTTCTCCCCTTATCCTCTTAACAAAAGTGACTCTAATTTCGTGATTATTTTTCTGTCTCCTGCTTCTCTCTTTGCATGGGCTGTTCTTCATGTAAGAATGGTAGATACTAAGTACTAGATGATTTCAAGGAGGAAGGGATCCTTTGGGTATCCTTTCCTTTAATAAGGAATTTTTTTTAAAAGGCGGCATTTATTCTGGGTCTTGAGGGTTGGATGAAGTTTTGATAAGAGGGTAAAGAGGGGATGTAAGCCTATAAATAAATGTCTAAAGACACTTTGGAGTACCAAATGTTTTAAAGATATTCTTGAAGATACTTAAGAACAAGAGTTCATTACCCTGGAGTAGATTTCAAGGGAAGGGAGAATCTGAACTAGGATTGAGGGGAAAATTACATCCTTATTTTCATTTCATTTCATTTCATTAGCCTCTAGTTGGAATGTAGCATTTCCTTCAAATTTGCATGTAGGCAACAGGCATGAAGCAAAACACACTAGTACTTGCTAGTCAATTGTTTTGAAGAGTTGCTAAGGCTTGTGTTGGGAAAGGTGAAGAATACAACTTGAACACCAGGTACTAGACTGTAGCGTGGGTACAGGTGAGGTCCAGACAGCAGCGGGAAAAAGGCCTTTGAGCTGGGGGTTGGATGTTGGGAGAGGTGTCATCAAAGAGAGGAGTTAACTTTAGTTGTGCTTGAAAGGAAGAGAAGGATGCTCAACCCTAGAGGAGGGAATGCTTTCCAGGAATGGGCTGCCGCTGGCTCACAGGCAGGCTGTAACTTTGCTTGCCTGGGTTTGGAGAATAGCCAGT